AGCACATGAACCTGGGTTGCCGTAGATTCTGGGAGAATTTCAGGATCAGTATATGTTGTTTCCTCCCTTAGGCGTGAATAGCTTGCAGGTGGCTCTTTTGTTTCTGCACCAATTTCCTCTTGATCATCATTGCTTTTTTTTATTTTTTTTATTTTTTTGGGGAACCTCGGCGGTACGAGGGAATTTTATTGATAAGAAAAAAGAAGTTACACCTAGACAGAGGGGGGACATAAACCTAACCCCTCATAGAACAATAGAAAAGAAATACAAGGGGGGACATGCACCTTACCCCTTTTGAGAAAGGAAATACCGGAAAAAGAGGGGGGGACATAGACCGTACCCCTCTTGGAAAAGAAAATACAAGGAAAAGACTAGGTGGACAAAAGCCCAAACCCCTCTAAAAACCTTAAAAGGTAATAACCTGCAAGACAAACTGCAAAACAAACGGGAAACCAAAAAGGTTAGGAAAAGAAAGGAGAGCACACATCAAGAAGAGGGGACAAACATGTAGGTTGGCATGCCCAAGAAATCTGAGTGCAGATGAGGAAGGATCTCTATTGGGGGAGTGGAATGCCAAACAAGTGAAGATGATAGAAGCCCTAAATTGGCTAATTTGTCAGCAGCAACATTCCCTTCTCGAAAAATATGAGAGCAACGAAAAACCATGTTCTGCAAATGGAGAGTACAATTGTTCCAGCGTGTCTGGAGCGACCAAGGGGGAGAGAAGGATCCAGAAGCAAAACATGATATTACACTAGAAGAGTCGCTTTCAAGCCATAAATTTTGCCAGCCCCGCGCGTGGGCCAATTCGACAGCAAGGATGACAGCATGGACTTCCGCATAGAAAGAAGTACGATGGCCCAAGCTTAGGGAGAAACCACCAAGAAAATAACCCGCAGAATCTCGAAAAACCCCGCCACATGCCGCAGGACCCGGATTACCTTTAGCAAGGCCATCAGTATTCACTTTGACCCAAGAAAAAGGAGGAGGGTGACAAAGAACAGGGACAATAGAAGGAGTTTTACTGGAGTTAGGCGATATTCCAAGAGAGACTAAAAGTTGCCTATCCAAAATGCCTCGTACATGGCCAGGGGTGAGAGCTCCAACCTGCCTAATCCAGGCCGAGGTGGAGCGGCAGAGACGTGAGAAGGAGGGAGGTTTGCCTTCAAACTTCACTTTATTACGCATCTTCCAAATAGCCATTAGTAAGAAAAACCCTGAAGCGAGCCAGACATTGCGAAGATGTGGAGAAAATCGCTTTGACAGAAAATCAAGCCATAGATCAGAGAGGGAGCCCGTAGGTGGAATAATGGTGCCAAATTGGGTAGCTAGCCAACGCCAAGCACATTGTGCAAATTCACAGCTAGAAAATAAGTGGTCAATAGATTCAGAATTCTTGTAACATAGTTGGCAAATTGGAGCCAGCATGATGCCTCGGCGCTGAAGTTGATCCTCCGTTGGGAGCTTGCTGAATAGAATCTTCCAAACTAAAATAGAGTAACGAGGTGGGATGAAAGGACTCCAGATAATGGAAGCCCAATTCTTGACAGGAAACCGATGACGAACAATTTCATAGCCATTGGAAAACGAAAAAACGCCAGATGTAGAAACTTCCCAAATTAAAACGTCATTATCCTCATCGATTGGAAGAGGCATTTCTAAAATCTCATTAGTTAGGTCTGGGAAAGTAGAAGAAAAAATTGAAGGAATAACCCATTTTCCCATACGAATAATATTTGAGACCTTAGTACGAGATAAAGAGGGAGCAATCTCTGTTGCACCAACGACGTCCACAATAGGCTTATCCAGCCATTTATCAACCCAAAGGGAAGTAGTAGAGCCATTTCCAATCACCCAACGACAATTCTGAAACAAGATATGAAGAATGGATTTAATACCAGGCCATATAGAAGATCGCTTATAACTACAAGAATATAGGCGACCGTGAAGCTGGAACCGTTCCCGAAGATAAATACTCCAAGGGGAATCAGTAGTAATAATAAGCCATCCAAGCTTTAAGAGAGCTGTAGTGTTAAGAGAGCTAAGATCACGCAAACCCAAACCACCTTCATTCTTCGGAGCACATATCTGACGCCAAGAAACGGTAACAAACTTCTTGGAGGTTACGTCACCAGACCATATAAAATTGCGAGCACATCGTGAAAGAGACCTTAGCAAGGAAGAAGGCCACTTATAAACAGAAAAGCTATGCAAGAGCATACTTTGAAAAACTGATTGAGTGAGTTGAACTCTTCCTGCCATAGATAAAAGTTTCCCCTTCCAACCAGTTAACTTAGCTTTAGCTTTATCTGCCAAGGCTTGGAGATGACTCCTTTTAGGCTTGCCACAGAAGATTGGAACTCCTAAGTAGACAAAAGGTGCTTTGCCTTCTTTGAAACCCAAGTAACTCTCAACCATAGCTTTGCGATGCCTTGAGGTAGAGCCCAAGTAGAAAGTACTTTTTGCCTTATTGATAAATTGACCAGAGGCTCTACTATATCTATCGAGGAAACCTTGCAAATTACGCAGGGTGACACCATCACTTCTACAGAAAATGAATAAGTCATCTGCATAGAGAACGTGAGAAGGAGAGATACAACCTCTTGGAGCAAAAGTTGGCTTAGTAAGCCCATCAAGTTGAAGACGACTTAGGCCCCTTGATAAAGCCTCCTCAGCTAGACAGAAAAGTAACGGAGAGAGAGGATCCCTTTGGCGCACTCCTCGGGAACAAGAGAAAAAACCATGCGGGGAACCATTGATAAGTTTAAATCCATAAAAACCTTTTACTGCTTGAAACCCATAACGGCAACCCTCCTGGTGGTAGCTCCATCATTGAATTGCTCTCTAAATTAACAAGCCAACAAAGATAAAAATAAAATCAACAAGTAAATAAATAGATACACACACACACAAATAATTAACTAAGAAAATGATAAACACAAATTATTTAAAACAATCTCCGGCGATGGCGCCAATTTCTTGATAGAATTTTTACTACCTACAAAAGGAAGGTTAAAAATCACACAAAAATACTTGCAAGAGAAAAATGTAGTTATAGTATAAACAACTCAAGTAAGGTCGTTTTCCACAAGGATTGAATGAATAATTTGTATTTAAACCAACTCTTAATTAATTATTTAAAACAAAGTTTGGAAATGTTGATTTTAGAATTTAAAATAATAAAAATGAATTTAATAAAAAACAAATTAAGAAATCAATTTAAATAAAGTCAATTCAAAGGGATACTATTTGTAAAAATACTAGGGTTCCGCTGTCACTTTAACAATCCTACGGAATTCTTCCAATTACTTATGAACTACCCATGCATATTTTGAAGGTTACGTTTTCCTAATATATATCCTACTTGGAACCTCCAACATATGTTAGATCCCACATCGCCCATGCCTTATATGTACATGCTCACCTCCTTTAGCACGAGGCATTTTAGGAGCTCACTGGCTTCAGATTCCATAGGAACTCCAAAGTTAAGCGAGATAGCGCGAGAGCAATCTTAGGATGGGTGACCCACTAGGAAGTTCTCGTGTGAGTTCCTAGAAACAAAACCGTGAGGGCGTGGTTGGGGCCCAAAGCGAACAATATCGTACTACGGCGGATGTGAGGCCGAGATGTGACATATAACGTCTATCTAACATGCAACATGTCCAGACGTTATCAAATATGACCATGAATGACTCATTAAGTTTTATGAAAACCCTTTGAAAAACTATGCAACCCTTAAGATGTGGTGTTCATCTTAAGTGAAATTACAATTATTAACCACAAGAAGCCAGCGTCAATTTCAAGGAACTTTCCGACCAAAATTGCATCAAATTACTTTTCTCCGAATAGTCGCGAATCACTAAGATACTTAGATAGTTTAATCACGGTGATTAATAATTCAAAACATGCATGCATAAGAAACCACATATTCTTACTAAGGCTCGTAGCCTCGCCCTAGCAAAAGAAACTAGCTATGAACAACCATAAAACAAAATATTATTAAAAATATGGAAAGAAAATACCTTGAAAATAAACTTAAATTGTCAAAGGCTGCATCTCCTCCCTTCCGTCTAATGGTTAAATATCCTTATTTATACTACAACAAAATAAAACCCTAAAAGGTCTTGGAATAAAACTAGGAAACATAAATTAATAAAACATCAAATAAAAGGTTTCCTATTTGAACTGAAATTCAAACTTCTCATAAAATCAAACTTTTAACCAAGCAAATCAACTCTGGTTTGGTCTCAAAAGGTCTCTTTTGAAAGCTGAAGATGTCCCCTACAAATCCTCAGAATGAGTATTCCTCAAAATATGTCATCTTGACCTCTAAAATACCCAAAATGTCCAAAAACGTCAATCTGGGAAAGCTACGCGTTGGGCCTTTGTTTCATTGCCACAGTCGAATGGCTTGATAGAAAAATCTGAAACTTTGATAAAAACCTCTTGAAAGACTCACGAACCTCCTCCAATTTGAATCACTCCAAAATTCGTCCATTTAATTACTTTATGCCCAAGAGGAATTCGAATGTCCTACATTAGAAATATAATTTAAAGTATCAAAATTCACACAAAATAACCAATAAATTATCTATTCAAAAGTTGAGGAGGGATTTGACTGTAGCTTAGCTACATTCAAATCTTTGCCACTCGATTTTGCTTCATTTACACCACTACCAACAAATCTGAGACTGGGTTGGAGGGTAAATATTAGAAGTTAGAAAGGTAACTTTGTCTTTGACCAGATTTCGAAATATTTACGATTTTGCCAGTCTATTCATGTTTATTTTAAAATAGGCTATCGATTTTTAAGTTTTATGAAGTATGACAATTTGATATAAATATATATATGTATATAGAGAACTTACATCTTTTGACCGATTGTGTTACTAGATAGTTTTTCACTTACCTGATCAAAATAAAGTTTATCATGTTATTCTGTCCAATTATTGATTTGTAACAACATTATGTAAATACTTTTTATAACACATTTAGTCTTGTATTTGAAGACTTATATACAATACTTTTATTTCGTTTGACATTCCGCGGCAACGCGCGGGCTAAATCCCTAGTTAATACTAAGATTAGATTAAAATATATGTTAACATATTGACTCATTAGTACATGAGCCCTAAATTAACAAGTTTACATCTTTAGCCAAGGCAGCTATCATAGAATGATAAGTCTGCATAATGGTAAAAATGCAACCAGGCTCTTCTAAAGCCATATTGTTGTTGGCTAGCTGGGCTTCAGATTCCTCCACTTCATGGTTTACTTTCTTCACTTTCTCGAGCTTCTTGTATAGCTTGCTCGAGAGAGTCATCTGCTCAGCCTTCATAGTAGAAAGTTGTTCCTCCAGTTTCTGGATCTCGACAGCTACCACTATTATCTGATCCTCCATGAACGAGCCTTCATCCACCAGCTGCTACAGAGTAGTGGAGGTCCGAGTGTGCTTCTCCTTATAGCACCTCACCCTGTTAGCTTGCCTCTCGGCCTTAAGATGTTGATCCCTCAAAGCCCTTAGATTTTCAAAGAAGGAAACGAAGGACTCATATTGCACCTTAGTCATCTGTTGGGCTTGGTATAATTTAGTGAGAGCTATCTCAGCAGCTTGAAGAGCCTTAAGGCTAAAGAAGGCACTAAAGTCCCTCTGCATCCATTCTTTGAAGATCCTGCGCTGATCTTGAAGATGTTGAGGCTTAGAAGGGCGCCTTGTGGATCTTAACTTCGTCATAATTTGCTTGAACTCTCTAACTAGTTCAGGCAAATAAGTCGTGGTTGGAAGAGAAGCCAAAGGAGGCATCATGCCAACGCCATCAAAAGCAGGAGCAGCATGGGCAGCAGGGTTAACTTCAACATGGACAGGAGGAAAGGATTAAGCAGCTACAACCTTTTGAGGCCAAGGGATTGGAGACATGCCTAAGCCCTCACTAGTGGCCTATTAAAACGCAGAGAAGACAAATTAATGGAAAAATCTTGACCCGAATTAGGAAAAGACAAGATTGCGAGTATGTTTGTACCTGAGAAAGGCATTGTGCTTTGGGAGGAGGATCTGTTGCTGTAGCTGGTCTAGCTTGGGGCCTCCCCTCGGGCTCAGAATCAGATGATTCTACAATAGAAGATCTTGCCCGACGAAGAGCCATGGTCTCTGCTTCTGTCTCATTTTCACCGTTGGAATCCATGTGAAAATCAGTCAGCTATCTGCTTTTTTAGGTTTTTGGATCTGTCATGGGCATATAGAATATATATAGCTTGATCATTTACAAGTTTCTTGTAGGCTTGGTCGATCTACAAAAATTGAGAATGTTCTTTACTTTGTCTAACATCCTTACCTTTATATCTTGCTTAATTTATGTCTTTGCATTTCTTTAAAACAAGGCATGCACATAATCTTAGCTAGCTGATGCCTTTCTAACTTTTTTGTGTTAGATTTTTTTAAGTATTTCAAATTACAAATCATTTTACTTCCTAAAAATTATGGTTGTTAATAGCTATATAGCCGTTTCTTGTATTTGTCTGTCTTTGGTTTGCTTTTAATTTGCAATATATGTGGGGGATTGTAGGAAATATGTTTTGCAAATTAAAATATTTTTATCCCACAATATTACGATTATTAAATTGGATATGTACAAACCGTTAAATGGGTTTAATTTGCTTTATTTTCAGTTTTGGTTGGTTACCATATCAATCTTATTATTGCTGCCTTTATATGCTTTTACTCTTGATTTATGATAAGAAATTTATCCTTCCGTTTTGTTTTGAACAATTAAGTTACCTAATTTTTAATATATATTAATAGCTATATAATTATAATATCTATATTCTTATTCTATTAAGAGAAAATGGTTTGTCAACTTTTTGCCCCCTTTTCTTTCAATTTTGTCCTCACTTTTGAATACACAATGTTGACATGAGGAGGGAAAAATAGTAATTTTGTATCTTTTGAACTTTTTCCCTTTTTTTCCTATTTTGCCTTCACTTTTGATACACAATATTTACATAAGGAGGGCAAAATAGTAATTTTATATCGAAATATTTACATAAGATAAAAATATGCACTTATTAAGAGAAATTGTCCCATCATCATTTTTTCATATAGGTAAGTGAAATCATGATGCTTTTTTGGATAGTTTGAATGAACTGAAGCAGTTACGCTGGAAGAGAACGTGGGAGGAGGTGGGCGGTTGTTCACACACACAAAGTGTATGCTCTCTGCTAGTTTATTATTACGAAAACATGTTACAAAGGAAATATATATAGCGCGGGCATTTTATGGTACAGAGTAGTTTTCCAAAATTTCATGACCTTTCCTTATTCCTTGAAGTGTTCATCATTTACAGGTTTCTTGTAGGCTTGGTCGATCTACAAAAATTGAGAATGTTCTTTAGTTTGTCTAACATCTTAACCTCTATATCTTGCTTAATTTCTGTCTTCGCATTTCTTTAAAACAAGGCATGCACAAAATCTTAGCTAGCTGATGCCTTTCTAACTTTTTTGGAGTTCAATGAAAGTGTATTCAGCTTCAAGGGAGCTGACGATTGGATCGTTCATTATTTCCAATGTGTACGTATTTGCAATCCTAAGCATGTATGTTCGTTAAATACAGGCTCTGTTTCTAAACTTCCTCCTTAAGACTTTTTTGGTATATACAGGACTCTGGCTGCAAAGGTATATGCTCTCAAATGCTAGCTACAAACCCCTTGCTCTCCTTAGTAATACATAGATGAAAAGATAGTCGTGGTTTGTTACAACAAATAATTAGTGTGGGTACAAATGGAGTCAACACCACCAAGTGATGCATAGCATAGCGCAGCCAAAGACATAGCTAATTCTATTTTAAAACTTCCCCCTTGGTTCTAAATTCTCATATAATTATTTGAACAAGATAAAAATATAGTTTTAGGGTTTTTATCACAAATGATCCTTGAAATTGACCCACCCAATCAAGATGGTCCCTGAAATTGAAAATCGATCAATGTAGTCCCTGAAAACGGCTGTTGCAAATCAATGTGGTCATTCCGTCACAATTCCGTTAAAATTTCTGTTAAGTGCTAATGTGGCACATAAATGGGTCCCACAAATTTAATTAAATATTATTATGTGAATAAAAAATATTTAAATAATAAAAAACAATTGTTATTTTTTATAATTAAAATATTAAAAAATAAAAAATAAAAAAAGAAGGAGGAGATGATTGAACACTGTTCATCATCTTCTTCCCCTCCTATTCACATAAATATTCACATAAATGATGACATTGGAAGGAGAAATCCCAAGCTTGAAATTGGCAAGCCAGGTGAGGAAGAAAGAGGACGGGCCGCCTAGAAAAACCGTGGTCAGATTGAGAGGGAGGTAGACGAAGAAGAATGTGACGGGTAGGATGGCGAGGAGTCTGGTGGTGCTCGGAGAAGTGAGCTTGCAGACGGTGTGAAAGTAGGATAGTGATGCCACAACCATAATCCACACCATGAAAAAGTTTGGGATTTCTCCTTCCAATTTCATCATTTCTATGAATAGGAAGGGAAGAAGATGATGAACAGTGTTCAATCATCTCTTTCTTTCTTTTTTCTTTTTTTTTTTAAGATTTTAATTATAAAAATAATAATTGTTTTTTATTATTTAAATGTTTTTTATTCACATAATAATATTTAATTAAATTTGAGGGACCCATTTATGTGCCACATCGGCACTTAACAGAAATTTTAACGGAATTGTAACGGAAGAACCACATTAATTTGCAACAACCATTTTCAGGGACTACATTGATCGATTTTCAATTTTAGAGACCATCTTGATTGGGTGGATCAATTTCGGGGACCATTTGTGATAAAAACCCTAGTTTTTATTTCACAACAAATGAGCAAATACCACTACAAGAAAACTGAGCAATAGTTACCAAGATTGGTAGTTGTTTGATTGTTTTTGGTGGCGTAAAAATGGTGTTATGAATGAAAGATATGTGGCTAAAGCTAACAAGTACCTAATAGCACACCATAATAGTGACTAATGCATTTTTTTTTTCCCGGTAAAATTCTAAATTCAATCCAACTCTAGCATTGCTATCATGAGAAGTGACAATGAGATTGCTTTATTTACAAAAAAAAAAATTACAATCAGTTAAGGAGGATATAAAGCCTAACCTGGCCATGGTAGCAGCCATAACTAAACAAACCCTCCAATAACTAATATAAGATATAACAAGACCAACAAAAAATTAATTTATCTAAAATGATAGTATGAAAACCTTACATAATCACAATGATAATATAACAATATGAAATCAAAAAGAGAATCTCACCAAACAAGACCAGTAAAATATACTTTTTGTACCATTGACTACCTTTTTCTCATTGGTAACACATTATTATCCCGGCAATATCAACCAATTAGTCTTTATTGGTTCTTTTTTTTTTTTTTTGGTTCACGGTTTCATTTATTTTTATTTTATTTTTAAAACGAAGACAATTTTCATTGCAATAAAAACTAATACAGGGCCCAAAAAGGACCAGGCAAACAACTACAGGAAAAGTAAAAGGTCCAAACAAAATGATAGCAACAACCCAAGATAAGATATAATGAGAGGCTCACACAAGTTTAGCTCGAAGGCAGCAAAAAATAGACAATAAAAAACACTAATATCTTGCAACAAAGACCACATTGCCGCCGCCGTCACATCCTCAGAGGAAGCCAAACTCCGAACTGAGAAAGTAGACACCAGATCCAAGTCCCCTTCATGAACCCTTGCAAATATATACAAACAAAGTAACATATGGGAAGAAGGTGAGGCTAAGGGGTATGTAAAATACCCAACACTTGGCCTCGATGGAGATCCAGCATGTTGGTTGGGGGAAGGGAAGTGGATCTGATATCCAATTTCTTATTAGAGCCCCCCGATCCAAACACATGGTGGGATGGAAATGAAGTATCACAGCTAGGGAGGAGGGAGGAAGGGAAATAAAAGATAGAAAGCAGAAAAAGCAGGCGAAAAAACGTCGAATAAAAGGCAAGAAGCCCGAATAGTTGAGACTCGGCTCAAGGAAAACTGAGATTATTCTTTCACATTTTGGTGGAGCAGTTATTGGCCTCTATTTGCTCGGGTTTTCATTTTACTATTTAACAAAACTTCTTTCATATTTTAATCTTCATTATTTGTTTTTCACACTTAGACCATCTTCAACCCTTGAGTTAAAACTTAAAAATTTTAACCCAAAAAATTTAGGTATTAACTTAGAAACAGTTTTTCTCCTCCAATCCTTCTGGGTTGAATTTTTAGCTCAAGATTATTAAAGAATGAATTTTCTTAAAGTAAATTAAAAAAAAATATATGTACACTATCCTAATTAAATTTTATGAACATTTTAACCTAAAAATATTTAGATTCCAATCAATATTAAAAAAATCACTAAACCGATACCATGGAACTCGTGAAACTCTATGAAAGAATATGAAATACATAAAAAAAAATTTTAATTACTTTAGCCGTTGGATTTAAATTTGGACAATTATATCTTTATTTTTTTTTACCGTTGGATTTGATCATATTAGATCTTAGCGGTTGAATTCAATGAATTTATAAATATAAAACAAAAAAAAATACACATATAATGGTGGGCTACCCCCACTAACCCGGGGAAATTCTAGGCTAAATTTGCCTCACAAAAGAGTTTTTGGTTAAACTCATATTTGTCCCAAGAGTTGGAGTAAGTTGGGGTAAATTTATAACCTAAAATTTGAGTTTTACTTCAAGAGTTGGAGATGGTCTTAGGCTTCACTATTTCGCCCCAACAATGACTATCTCAAGTACCACTCTTGATTTATCTTTTTAATTCATATACATTAACATTGTGCGTGGTTTATGTATTTGGTTAATACTTTATTCGGTTAATTAATATGGTGTTATCTATAAAGGCATTCTAGGAGCTTGTTCTGCTTTGTAACCTTTATTATATATTGAAATTGAATAATTACAAATTAAGATACAATTGAAACAGAAAAACTAAAGAGACCAAGTAAATTAAGTGAAATGACCAGGTAATATAGAAATGTAATATGGTCCGAAAATTAAAAATGTTTTGCTAAAATTGTTGATCAATTTTGAACTGTAAGAGTAGCTAGCTAGCTGACTTCGGATATCTACACACTACATAAACTCCCAGAGCCATGACCAGAACAACCACCACCACCATCACAGCTGTCTTCTTGCTCAGCCTTGGCTTCAAAACTTTGCTTCTTAAACCAACTAAGTAGTCATTAGCTGACGCCCATGCAGCATTCACTCCGCCGTGCTGAGCTTCTTTTGGAATGGTTATGGAAAGAATTCCACGGGAAAACTTAGCGCGGATACCATTCGTAGTACAATGTTTAGAAATTTTGATCTCTTTACAGAAGCGGCTGGGTATAGCAGATGTAGTTTCTTCAACCCTAGGTTGCTTTCCGCTAATGGTTAGGATGCCCCAATTGTTGATTTGAACTCTAATATCTTGTCTTTTGAAACCTACATGCATGCATCAACAAGTAGAACAACGAGTACGTAAGAGAAGATGAAACGTAACTCGGTCTTTTGCCAAACTTATGCTGTTAGGCAATTGTCATGCTTACATCTCTCATGTACAAGAGTATATATTTAGACAGTAAATCTAGATTACACATTTAGCTAAAATTCTAAAGAATAACAATGTATAGCATACATTACTTACTAGCTAGAGAGACGTGCGCTAAGAAATATTTCAGAAAATTTAACAAGTGAATCCGAGTCACTTAAAAGATAATATATACTACACATTGATGTATGATAGAATGACTCAATATTTAGTCATGATCAATTTGATCTAGTAGTACCTTGTAAATGAACTTCAAGAATGTCATGTCCTTCCTCCTTGTTCCATTGGCAAAACGGTTCGAATTCCTCATAACATGTCTCATCCTTGGCCGTGGGTTTGGTTTCCATCGTAGAGCAGATGCTTAATTACTTGTTTTTTCTCTTTTCGGTGATCAGTTTCAACGAAATGTAATAAGAACATATGAAGGACTCTCTTTCTCTTATATTTATACATGATGTAAGGGTTGGTGACAAGCTAGCCTAAAAGTTTTCTTCTGGGTTTCCTTCCTAAAGAGAATGATTCGATCTCTTGATTTTTTTGTTTCCTTTTCCCAAGTTGAAGTTTTCTTGTTCCTGGATTGAGGTAATAATTTCTTCAACCTCAAGATATCAAGCATGTGCTAATACTTCCAGAGCACATCATCAGCTATAGGCTTTATATATAGAGAACTGTGAAAAAAGGGTTGTTTAGATATCTGCTATCTGTTGATCACAACTGCATGAACTTTTGGCAACAAAGAAGCAAAGCGTCTAATTGCCATCAACAATCTTCGTTGTATAGTCGTTCATTTTCTCATCACCATTTAAGAAATTAATCAAATTAGAGATCATTAAGTCATTATCAAATAAATGAACGATTCTTAATGATTTAAGTTAATTTTTTTGCGGAAGATACACCTTAAATTATGATCTAAGAAATTAACCATTTGTGATGTGTGCGATGAAAATTCACTACACAATTGGAATGAGGAAAGGGAGCTCATTAACTTTTTTTTAAGGTAATAAGAGGAAATGATCAGTGGTTCTTTCAAGAAATTAAACTCGTTAAAATTATAATCATGATTATCGTAGCGAAATAGTTAGGTGGATTATACATGCATCGTTAAAATTATAATCATGATTACAGGGCTGGTCAATGCGGAGAAGGGTTCCTGGTTTGAACTTTGAACTCTCCCGTTGTTGAACCACATGTTGGGGGCAGAAAAAAATGAATAATTTGTTGGGTGTAAGTAGAGTATAAAGTGTTATAATGGGTGTGAACAATAACTGGCTCTATAATCTTAAACGTATGATACTTCTGGTCATAAGTTTTCTTAAATAACTGGCCCTAAGAATTTATTACTTGGAATGGGATCTAAGTTTTTTTTGTGTTACCTTAATTTATGTGCAAAACATACAACGTTTGTGATATGAAATGTTTAAGTTCGTCTTGTAAATTGTACAGCCTTTTTATGTCATCTGAATTGAATTTATATGAAAACCAAGTAGCTGTGTCTTTTTCATGCAATTACACCTGATGCATTCAGTTCCCGCCGCAACGTGCGGGCGTATTTTCTAGTTAATACTAGGATTATGGTAAAATATATAGTGACATATCGACTCATCAGTAAATAAGCCCTAAATTAACAAGTTCACATCTTTAGCCAAGGCAGCTATCCTAGAATGATAAGTCTGCATGATGGTAAAAATATGACCCGGCTCTTCTAAAGCTATATTGTTGTTGGCTAGCTGGGCTTCAGACTCCTCCACTTCGTGGTTTACTTTCTTCACTTCCTCGATCTTCTTGTATAGCTTGCTCGAGAGAGTCATCTGCTCAGCCTTCAGAGCCGAAAGTTGTTCCTCCAGTTTTTGGATCTCAGCAACTACCACTATTATCCGATCCTCCATGGATGAGCCCTCCTCCACTAGCTGCTGCAGAGTAATGGAGGTCTGAATGTGCTTCTCCTTGGAACACCTCACCATGTTGGCTTGCCTCTCGGCCTTAACATGTTGATCCCTCAAGGCCCTTAGATTTTCAAAGAAGGAAACGAAGGACTCATATTGCACCTTAGTCATATGCTGGGCTTGGTATAATTTAGTGAGAGCTATCTCAGCATCTTGAAGAGCCTTAAGGCTAAAGAAGGCAGAAAAGTCCCTTTGCATCCATTCTTTGAAGATCCTGCGCTGATCTTGAAGATGTTGAGGCTCAGAAGGGCGCCTTGTGGATCTCCGCTTCATCATAATTTGCCCGAACTCCTTTCTGCTAGTTTATTATTACGAAAACATGTTACGAAGGAAATATATATATAGCGCGGGCATTTTATGGTACATAGTAGTTTTCCAAAATTTCATATGACCTTTCCTTATTCCTTGAAGTGTTGATCATTTACAGGTTTCTTGTAGGCTTGGTCGGTTTACAAAAATCGAGAATGTTCTTTAGTTTGTCTAGCATCTTAACCTTTATATCTTGCTTAATTTATGTCTTTGCATTTCTTTAAAACAAGGCATGCACAGAATCTTAGCTAGCTGATGCCTTTCTAACTTTTTTGGAGTTCAATAAAAGTGTATTCAGCTTCAAGGGAGCTGACGATTGGATCGATCATTATTTCCAATGTGTACGTATTTGCAATCCTAAGAATGTATGTCCGTTAAATACAGGCTTTATTTCTAAACTTCCTCCTTAAGACTTTTTTGGTATATACAAGACTCTGGCTGCAAAAGTATATGCTCTCAAACGCTAGCTACAAACCCCTTGCTCTGCTTAGTAATACATAGATGAAAAGATAGTCGCAGTTTGTTACAACAAATAATCAATGTGGGTACAAATGGAGTTAACACCAACAAGTGATGCATAGCATAGCGGAGCCAAAGACATAGCTAATTCCATTTTTAAACTTCCCCCTTGGTTCTAAATTCTCATATAATTATTTGAACAAGATAAAAATATAGTTTTTATTTCACAACAAATGTGCAAATACCACTACAAGAAAAATGTGACAGCCCGTTCCGAAATAAATTTTTTTTGTAGCTTAATTCTGTTGATGTTGAATCTCAAATTTTATTGTTCATAATGTCAAATTTTATTGTTCACTGTGACTTTCCTGTGCAAAAGTAAAATGTTAAAATTAAATATCTTATTTTTAAAAGAAATTGTGATCTGATATATTTTACATTTTGGCTAGAATTCTAAGAAGCGGTAACATGAGTTAGGGTCATAGTGAATACGATGCGTGCATGTTTAACCCCCTTTTTTTGCACCCGGCCCTGTTATGTATGCCCAAAAGTATGGAAGGTTACAGGGCTGGTCAATGCGGAGAAGGGTTCCTAACTTTGAACTCTCCCGTTGTTGAACCACATGTTGGGGGGCGGAAAAAAATGAATAATTTGTTGGGTGTAAGTAGAGTATAAGATGTTATAATGGGTGTGAACAATAACTGGCTCTATAATCTTAAACTTATGATACTTCTGGTCATAAGTGTTTGTAAATAATTGGTCTTGAGAATTTATTACTTGGAATGGGATCTTAGTTTTTTTGTGTTACCTTCATTTATGTGCAAAACATACAACTTTTGTGATCTAAAATGTTTAAGTCCGTCTTATAAATTGTACAACCTCTTTATGTTAGCTGAATTGAATTTATATGAAAGCCAAGTAGCTGTGTCTTATTCATGGAGTTACACATGATGCATTCAGTTCCCGCCGCAACGCACGGGCGTATTTTCTAGTTAATACTAGGATTACGGTAAAATATATAGTAACATATCGACTCATCAGTACATAAGCCCTAAATTAACAAGTTTACATCTTTAGCCAAGGCAGCTATCCTAGAATGATAAGTTTGCATGATGGTAAAAATGCGACCCGGCTCTTCTAAAGCTATATTGCTGTTGGCTAGCTGGGCTTCAGACTCCTCCACTTCGTGGTTTACTTTCTTCACTTCCTCGAGCTTCTTGTATAGCTTGCTCGAGAGAGTCATCTGCTCAGCCTTCAGAGCCAAAAGTTGTTCCTCCAATTTTTGGATCTCGGCAACTACCACTATTATCCGATCCTCCATGGACGAGCCCTCATCCACCAGCTGCTGCAGAGTAATGGAGGTCCGAATGTGCTTCTCCTTGTAGCACCTCACCATGTTGGCTTGCCTCTCGGCCTTATGATGTTGATCCCTCAAGGCCCTTAGATTTTCAAAGAAAGAAACGAAGGACTCATATTGCACCTTAGTCATCTGCTGAGCTTGGTATAATTTAGTGAGAGCTATCTCAGCATCTTGAAGAGCCTTAAGGCTAAAGAAGGCAGAAAAGTCCCTTTGCATCCATTCTCTGAAGATCCTGCGCTGATCTTGAAGATGTTGAGGCTCAGAAGGGCGCCTTGTGGATCTCAGCTTCGTCATAATTTGCCCGAACTCTCTAACTAGTTCAGGCAAAGAGGTCGTGGTTGGAAGAGAAGCCAAAGGAGAAGGTGTCATGCCAGTGTAATCAAAAGCAGGAGCAGCAGGGTCAACATGGGTAACCTCAGCAGGAGCAGGATGAAAGGATTCAGCAACTGCAACCCTTTGAGGCCAAGGGATTGAAATCCCTGAAACTTCAGTAGCTCGAGAAGGTCGATGAGACCTGCCCGAGCCCTCACTAGTGGCCTATTAAAACACAGAGAAGACAAATTAATGGAGCAATCTTGACCCAAATTAGGAAAAGACGAGATTGCGAGTATGTTTGTACCTGAGAAAGGCATTGTGCTTTGGGAGGAGGATGTGGTGTTGTAGCTGGTCTAGATTGGGGCCTCCCATCGGGCTCAGAATCAGAAGATTCTACAACAGAAGATCTTGCCCGATGAAGAGAAGGTCTTGCCTGACGAAGAGCCATGGTCCTTGCTTCTGTCTCATATTCACTGTTGGAATCCATGTGAAAATCAGTCAGCTAGCTGCTTTTTTAGGTTTTTGGATCTGTCATAGGCATATAAAATATATAGCTTGATCATTTACAGGTTTCTTGTAGGCTTGGTCGATCTACAAAATCAAGAATGTTCTTTACTTTGTCTAACATCCTAACCTTTATATCTTGCTTAATTTCTGTCTTTGCATTTCTTTAAAACAAGGCATGCACAAAATCTTAGCTAGCTGATGCCTTTCTAACTTTTTTGTATTAGATTTTTTAAGTATTTCAAATTACAAATCATTTTACTTCCTAAAAATTATGGTTGTTAATAGCTATATCGTCATTTCTTGTATTTGTCTATCTTTGGTTTGCTTTTAATTTGCAATATATGTGGGGTAGTGTAGGAAATATGTTTTGCAAATTAAAATATTTTTATCCCACAATATTACGATTATTAAATTGGTTATGTGCAAACCGTTAAATGGGTTTAATTTACTTTATTTTCAGTTTTGGTTGGTTACTATAGGGTGGTGTGGGAGTAAGGTGCTTAAAAAAAAAACACACATGAAAAAAAGCTGTGAGGGTTTTAGGTGTTTGGTAAACTGAAAAAAAAGGGCTTATTTTGGAAGCTGCTGTGATAATAAGCTGAAGCTGCTATTTGCAGCTTTGGAAAACTAGCTTTTTTTCAAAGCACACGGAGCTACAGTGTTCCTTTAATGAAAAGACCAACTATCAGACTGTTTTTTTTTTTCCAAAAGCACTTTTACAAAAAAGTTTACCAAATACTCTGCTCATTTATTTCACACCCGCTTATTCTCACATCACAGCCGCTTATTCTCACAGCAGTTTTTTTTCAAAGTAGAGCAATACCAAACCAGCCCTATATCAATCTTATTATTGTTGCCTTTATATGCTTTTACTCTTGATTTATGATAAGAAATGTATCCTTCCGTTTTGTTTTGAACAATTAAGTTACCTAATTTTTAATATATATTAGTAGCTATATAATTATAATATCTATATTCTATTAAGAGAGGGATGTGATATCCACACACCCCATTTTACTTCTCACACACCTTTTTAATTTTTGGCTATCGGATCGGATGAATTGAAAAAGATCAACGAACATAAATTATCAAGGGGTGTGTGAGAAGTAGAATGGGGTGTGAGGATAGCACACCCCTTAAAAGAAGAGGGTTTGTCAACTTTTTGCCCTCTTTTCTTTCAATTTTGCCCTCACTTTTGAATCCACAATGTTGACATGATGAGGGCAAAATAGTAATTTTGTATCTTTTGAATTTTTTCCCTTTTTTCCTATTTTCTCCTTACTTTTGATACACAATATTTACATAAGGAGAGCAAAATAGTAATTTTATATCAAAATATTTACATAAGATAAAAATATGCACTTATTAAGAGAAATTGTCCCACCATCATTTTTTCATATAGGTAAGGTAAGTGAAATCATGATGCTTTTTGGATAGTTTGAATGAACTGAAACATTTGCGCTTGAGGAGAACGTGGGAGAAGGTGAACAGTTGCTCACACACATAAACTTTCTGCTAGTTTATTATTACGAAAACATGTTACGAAGGAAATATATATATAGCGCGGGCATTTTATGGTACAGAGTAGTTTTCCAAAATTTCATATGACCTTTCCTTATTCCTTGAAGTGTTGATCATTTACAGGTTTCTTGTAGGCTTGGTCGATTTACAAAAATCGAGAATGTTCTTTAGTTTGTCTAGCATCTTAACCTTTGTATCTTGCTTAATTTATGTCTTTGCATTTCTTTAAAACAAGGCATGCACAGAATCTTAGCTAGCTGATGCCTTTCTAACTTTTTTGGAGTTCAATAAAAGTGTGTTCAGCTTCAAGGGAGCTGACGATTGGATCGATCATTATTTCCAATGTGTACGTATTTGCAATCCTAAGCATGTATGTCCGTTAAATACAGGCTCTATTTCTAAACTTCCTCCTTAAGACTTTTTGGTATATACAAGACTGGCTGCAAAAGTATATGCTCTCAAACGCTAGCTACAAACCTCTTGCTCTCCTTAGTAATACATAGATGAAAAGATAGTCGCAGTTTGTTACAACAAATAATCGATGTGGGTACAAATGGAGTTAACACCAACAAGTGATGCATAGCATAGCGGAGCCAAAGACACAGCTAATTCCATTTTTAAACTCGTTAAAATGGAGATAACCATTTGTGATGTGTGCGATGAAATTAACTACGCAATTGGAATGAGGAAAGGGAGCTAATTAACTTTTTTTTAAGGTAATAAGAGGAAATGATCAGTGGTTCTTTCAAGAAATTAAACTCGTTAAAATTATAATCATGATTATCGTAGCGAAATAGTTAGGTGGATTATACATGCATTGTACAACCAACTTCATTGCATTTTCATCAACAAAGTTTACATCCAAACAAATTGATGAAAATACTCAACCAACGTCCACCCCAAGTCATACCATAAATTCCCTTGGTAACTACCAACTAGTGAGTTAATACTTACAATCCAAATAACATCTGCCAGCAACGAAACATCACTAAACGAGAACCTGCCAACCTCTTCGTCTTCATCTTCATCTATACCTTCCTCGTCTTCAGAAAAAACCTCATCTTCCTCTTCGACTTCATCTTCTTCATCCTCATCCATCATGGCATTACCCCTCTCATCTTTGTCCTTCAAACCAGTGCTCAAGACCACAGTTTCTCCCCTGGATTTCTCCATATCCTTCCTCAACTTCTCCATGTTCTCCTTTCTGTGTTCCTCCTCTAATCGTTGCTTCTCTGCCCGTCTCTTGTCCAGATCAGCCCTACACAAACAATAAGAAGCGCCTAATTATGAAAACTAAATCCAATATATACATAATTTTGACCTATATCATAAACATATTCCCACTGTGGCATTGTAGCATAAAGTGAAGGTAGGTTCGTGAAGTTCATGCATTACTTATAGGTTTCCATGTACTCGTCAGCACTTGCTTCAATGGCGTTAAAGAAATCCTTCATTCCAGCACCACTAACCGCAGACACTCCAACAGACTGCAAGTTCTTATAGAATTCATCCAACACAAGGGAGAGGCTCTGAGCCAAATTTGAAGAGTATGAACTATCTGCACTCACTGCTGCTTGAAATGTCTCAAAATCCTCCATCCACTGTATGAACACAGCAGTTTTCAGGACTGGAACTACAATTCTTCCATATAAATTTTCAATTATTTCCATCCAGCTACTAAAATCGCAGGCATATTAAAATGGTATTCCAACACTTGAATCATAACAAGGTTGAACAGAGCTATTCTACAAAAAAAATGGCATAATATAATACCAGAGATTGTTTTATGCTCTGCTCCCTGTCACTACTGAGTTTTGCATGACAGAATGCCCCCTAAAAGCATTGTTCCACAATCTATACATTCGTTTAATATTAAACTTGAATAACTATAAACCACCTGAGTTTGTAACAGATTCTACCACTAGGGCCGAGCAATATATTCCTGAAACCATCTAATGCTTATATAGTGGGCAGCTGGCTTAATTTATGGTTTACCCTAACAGCTTGCAGATCCACCATACTCAAGCACTTCAACGATGTGAGTATGTCATTAAGGTGCTTATGTATATGTCTAATCAGTCTATGTCTGCATGCTATCTCCTGCCTGCATTCACACACAACTGCAACTGCAAAACATACCTCCAAAGCAAATTGATGTTGAGCAACGTCAATTTTGTTGAATGCCAACACAAGGGGCAGCCTTGTCTTGTAAAGAATACTACAAGCATACAGCATATTGCTCATAAAAGTGACAGGGCTAGCTGAACGAGGCGTATCTACCACATAAGCGATTACAGTGGGAAACGTTGAAGCAAATGCTTCTGTGATGATAGCACCAGAAGCAGCCAAGTGAATATCTCAATCTGACCAGGAGTATCCACAAGAACATAATCAAGCTGATCCGCTCGCTTCTCAATGACTGAGACAACCTGAATTGAAGATCATGATGATAATTTCATTTTTAATACAACAACAACAACAAAGCCTTTTCCCACTAAGTGGGGTCGGCTATATGAATCCTAGAACGCCATTGCGCTCGGTTTTGTGTCATGTCCTCCGTTAGATCCAAGTACTCTAAGTCTTTTCTTAGAGTCTCTTCCAAAGTTTTCCTAGGTCTTCCTCTACCCCTTTGGCCCTGAACCTCTGTCCCGTAGTCACATCTTCGAACCGGAGCGTCAGTCGGCCTTCTTTGCACATGTCCAAATCATCGGAGCCGATTTTCTCTCATCTTTCCTACAATTTCGGCTACTCCTACTTTACCTCGGATATCCTCATTCCCAATCTTATCCTTTCTCGTGTGTGCCCACACATCCCACGAAGCATCCTCATCTCCGCTACACCCATTTTGTGTACGTGTTGATGCTTCACCGCCCAACATTCTGTGCCATACAACATCGCTGGCCTTATTGCCGTCCTATAAAATTTTCCCTTGAGCTTCAGTGGCCTACGACGGTCACACAACACGCCGGATGCACTCTTACACTTCATCCATCCAGCTCGTATTCTATGGTTGAGATCTCCATCTAATTCTCCGTTCTCTTGCAAGATAGATCCTAGGTAGCGAAAACGGTCGCTTTTTGTGATCTTCGCTAGATTGCTCCGGTCATTAGTGTGGATAAGTATATAAATGGATAGAGATAGGAAAGCAAACACAAGATGTACGTGGTTCACCCAGATTGGCTACGTCCACGGAATAGAAGAGTTCTCATTAATTGTGAAGGGTTTACACAAGTACATAGGTTCAAGCTCTCCTTTAGTGAGTACAAGTGAATGATTTAGTACAAATGACATTAGGAAATATTGTGGGAGAATGATCTCGTAATCACGAAACTTCTAAGTATCGGAGTGTGGTGTCGTCTTGACTTGCCTTATCTGTCTCATAGGTAGATGTGGCATCTTCTCTGGAAGTACTCTTCCTCCATCCAGGGGTGGTATCTTTAACTGGTGGAGATGCACAAGGTAATGTATCAATTTCACTTGAAGCTTACTTGTAGTTTCAGGCTTGGTCAAGCGCGATAC